AATAAAATGAATTCACAACGATACAGTGACTCTGACCCACTTTACCTTGTTCTCCTTCCTCTGTAGGCACTTTATGCTCATTCTCTTCACTTTCGTTGTCATCCAAAGCACTCAGATCGAGTTTTTCAATATTGTTCAGTGGAGCACTGTTGGCACCTTCATAATCATTGCTCACTTGTCCTCCTCTGCCGTACGACTCTTCCAATGAATCCGCTGAACTTTGAGCATCTGAAAAGTTCCATTGATCAGAGTTATCGTAATCAATATTTAAGAGCTCATCCGCTGATCACCTCATAGAATATCTACTTTATAATTATAGTACCTTGCTGTGAATCAACATCCACTTCGCTGTTTTCATGTGCCAACACTGAACTTTCCAATACTTTTTCGTCACATTCGCTGATTTTCTGAAACGACCGACAATCGAAGAATCAAAAATTTCTCCACACTCCTAAGATCGAGTTCCCAACGTTTCATTTTCAAATAACGTTCAAACTTCGAACGAACGATACGTTCAGTTGAAGTAATAATCTCAGCCTCAGACTACAATTCCTCCTTCATTTCATCCCCCGAAAGGTACTATATCTCGGAGAGCCGTCATAGCTGTCATCATAGCTAGCTGAGATAGTCTGCAAAAGCGATTCTTTGCCATCATCATCATCACAATAGAACATGTCAACCATCAAAACACACTTTCAGCTCTAATTCGACCGGTTTCGGTGGCTCCACCATGAAGGTGACATCTGACGAGGANATGAAACATTTGTGATTTGCACGAAAAGTTCATAGCAGATAAACTTTCAAAACAGAATTTCACCTGATCACATGCTCATCGTTACCTTGTTCATCATAGATCGCTGTACGTGTCCTTCTGAAAAAGGAAGAAGAAAGAATTCAAAAAGATATCACGAACGCAACACTTAGAATGCGCAAAACAAAACTTTTTTTTTCTTATGGGTGAATCGCTCGCTACTGCTTAAATGGATGACACAGTAAAAGAATGTGATAAATATGATTTCATCCACAAAACCCCTCACTTGATTATTTCACCCGCTTTCAAACGAAATGCTTCACGATCGTCACGAAGCATCTTCGCAGCCTCCTTATTCACACACGACGCGATATCCGCATCAAAACTGAAGAATGTCCTCTGAAAATGCAAAAAGTTCACGCTGTCAGCATTGACACACGCGGAAATGTCAGCATTCGAGACGACGACAAACCTGCACTATCAAGAGAATGTGATAAATATGATGTTTCTCAGGTTTCCAGCCATCCCAGAAGTACCTCTTCAAATCCAGCTCACCAGTCGCCGGTTCGATGTGTGGATGAAAGACCTCCTCATCGAACAGAACAATCTGAAATGATGAAAGACAAACCGTCGAAATTGTATGAAATCGCTCAGAAACGACCAAATTTCCTCAGAGATCAATCGAACAGCAGCCAGCACGAACCGGAATTTTTTGCGACGGAAAATCGTCGGGCAGATAGAGTGTGAAACGTAGAACTGCACCCACATATACACCACGTCTGATGAACAATATACCGAACCAAACTGCAAAAAATAACACAAATTACTTTTACTGTTTCTTGTTAATGTTGACGACGATCGTTATGAATAATGTTCACTATCATATTTTGCTGACATCAATCATTTTATGCTCATCCTCATTTGATACGAATCAAATTTCTAGTAATCAAAGCGACAAGTAATCGCTCTATCAGTCTTTCTCTAAACACTCAATCGCACCTCTCGTCAGACATTATTGGGTATCACGATGGAATGACCCTATCCACAACTTTCACCTTATCATCACTTAACATGAAATTCCTGAAGAGCGACTTCGAGATCATTTCTTAGGACGACGACAGAAAATGATGCTGACCAGATAGAATGAAAGAAATGGTACTGATGAAAGAAAATAAGTGTAATCTCTTAAAAAGTTGCAATCGCTTATTAAATAATCCCATTTCTATCGTTATGATTTTACGCCAACGAATACACTCATGAAGCGATTATCATTATATGGAAGAGTACGGGCAGGATCTGAACCTGATGGATCT